CAGGGAAAAATGCACTACCTCCCGTCTGAATGTTGTTGATGTTTCATAGACCGTATTTCCTTTTTCAAGCAACTGAACTTGAACTCTCTCGCGCAAAAGCTGGTCATTCAACGTTTTTGTGAATTCGTGCAATGTTTTTTTTCAGTGTTAGGGTGCATTAACAGCCGTTTTTTGTCTAGTAGGTTTTAGAGACGCCAATGTTTTTGATAATTGTTTAAACGCCGAAACGATGCATCGCGCGGCCGACTGTATGATTTCGTTGGTAAAAGACGTCAATTAGTGAAATGAATTGCGCAAAGAACATTGAAAGGGCCACTTATTGAAATAGATAACCTTAAGCATAATGAGTACATCAAACAAACTTCCCGGAACACTGATTTTTGTCATGGGGTTTGAAAAGACTGAAGACGATCGGGTTGAAATAGTAAATGTTTGCCTGCCTGTGCCTACGTATTTTGTAATCTATGGCTATTTCGGCTGGCATTTTATATTTTATATTGTGTGTATTTTTAAGGAGTGTGAATATATCGGTACTCACTAAACCATTTATATAAAAATACTTAAAGTTTTCAATCCTGTTAATATTGGGACTTAGTGCAGTTTCATGTTATGTATTTACAGACGGTAAATTAAAAGAATATATTTAAGGTCGAAAATTAAAGTCACATTAGACCTATAGTACTGCAGGCAGTGTTTAGAGAGATTGGAATTTTCAGTGCTGACTTATTAGCGGTTATCAGTCAGTTATACCCAGCCCCAAATCGTTAACCCCCCGAGTCTCGAACTCGCAACTTTTTCGATTAGACTCTAACGATCTAAGTGTCCACATCTCCCGACCTAAACCGGCAAGACAATAAACTCCTGGCTCAATGTTTAGGGCGCTAGACTCAAAGTAAAATGGCCGCAAGTTTGGTTTTTAGATGGTGCAATGCTTGGGGTTGGATATGACTGGCGGACGACGACTTATAAGCTGGAAAGGCCAATATCAGTCTCCGTTGTCTTTGCCTGCAATACTATCTGCTTATAAAACTAGCTGAAATGGCTGCTGCCAGAACCCGATAAATGAGGTAAAAGCAGAGCTGGACAAGTGCCGTTACCTTTGGAAAGCTATTATTGTCACAGAAACAACCTGTCGGAGTATGTATCCTAACTGATGTAGTACAGACACGATCCCTAGGTTTCGTATTTGAAGATTAAGGGCTATTTGCCTTAAATTGGTTTTCACACCTAAATCCAACATCGATAACCATGGGTATGGGGAACTCACCGATCGCGTTAAAGGGTCAATGGGATGCAAGGGCTGTCAAAATATGAAACCTGCATAACAACATTAAGAGCATTGATTGGAAGCGGATTTAGCATGATAGAACTTGCCTTGTCAATTCCCACTTCATTAATAAACTTCATGACTGTTTTCATTTCTTCCGCGTTTTTCACGGTAACCCGACCACCCAGCGCCTTCAAAAGTGCATTGGCAGTTTCCATGTCACCAGCCTTAACCTCAAAACGGCCGTCGACATAACCGACGTGCGCTCTCTGTGTAAAGGATTCTCGATCATAAGTAATATTCACCGCTTGCTGAAACAAAGACAAAGCACTGCAAATTTCGTAAAAGGGTGCGCCTAGGTTATACGGTTTATGGCTTAAGATAAAGGCATATGGCATAAGAAAGAAATGGTCTTCTTCTTTGCTGACGAAAACGTGGATTATTTTTGTAATTTTTGGCGCATCCCCTGAGGGCGGGTCCGAAACTTCGAGCTAGGCCACAGTTGCACTAGGTGTGGTCCCACTAAAACCTGCTCGCCAATGCACTCATTTTGCGGAGCTGCCGCTAGAAATTGTAAGCGTACATCAAGGTTCTATGACGAGCCAGCTGGAGTCTTGACTGCAGCCTAGTCTTAAACTTGAGTAGAATCACGCAAATACCCTGCGCCGCAACCTGTACTTTTGTCTTCCAAAACGCGTAATTGATTTAGAATTGACATTGCTGGTGATGCTTTCTACCCAGCTAGGTAACTTTTTTCAGACAACGCATATATCAATGTAAGTGCTAGTCGTTCCACTACTTAGGTTGCTCCTCACAGTAAAGTACAAAATTTTCTATCACTAGCAACCTGCTTATATTTTTCCTTATAAGTTCAAATACAGATTAGAGCAGCCGTCGCTGAGATACATTTATACAGTTCAGGCCAAATATACACATCAACTTTCGATCTGTGCCTAAACACCTTACATCTTACTGATTTGTACTAAGAACAGAAGTAAATTTCTAAAGCAATTAAAGAACTAAACATTCTGATCAATTTATCAGCCAGAAAGCAAACAAGTAAAAATTGGGGGACCCGTTGATGAGCTGGACCTCTCGCACATGTGCCAAACACGTGCAACAAGTGTCTGGGCCTTTAAGCTAATACCTGGACTGTTACTATGGAACGTTTGAACGCCAATATATAAGATGATACATACTGTATAGCATTTCCCTTACTGCGGGAGACCTATGAGGCATTTAGGCTTGCTGCAACTGATTGAACGTCCTGACAGGATGATTATGGACGGTAATGGAATGTAGATTGAGTAGTTTCAAAACAATCTGCAAGGAGGTGATAAGTCTGCAAACACAGGTATGGGAGTTCCAGAAAACACTAATGAACAGTTTCTTGAAATTAGGAATTTTTTTTAATCGATACTTTGTAGTGGCGCGACATGCCATGTATGGGCAGGGGCGCAATATTAATTTTCATATGCCGTCTACTGACACAAAGATCCGGCTTCTAAACCTTCATGGTTTGCATCTTCTGCTGTTTTGATTAGGGTTTTTATTAACTGCACTAAACTGGGACGGCAAAGGGCAAATTGGATGCTCAAGAATTCAGACATGGCAACAATAAGAAAACAAAATTACTCATACCAGGGATGTATGAACCTAATGATAGGCGCCAGCAAAAACCCGACATTTCACATAAATAGGTTGACAGATACTGTTAACTGCACACTCTTATATACAACACAAGGTATACTGTACCTCGGTACAGGACAGTGGCCTAACGATTACTTATAGGGCGCGCGCCACACAAGGAATTCGCTAGACGTCTGGCACGCCATTCTCTCCTATAACAATTACAGGAAGGAAGTCTAAGCGAGGTAGACATTAAAGATTCCCTGATCATACTTATTCCTCAGTAGTTTAATGTCTAAATCAGATATGTGTAAGTCACCTCAAATGTGGGCAGATTTTCACCTACTGCGACTGATGCGTCCATTTTACAATCAACAAACGGAAAGAAATTGCATTCTTATTGACCGCTTAACTCCCAGATTGGTAGTTCATAAGCTTGCAAAGGTATCAGCGGAAGGCATCTTTACTTAGGTGTTTTATGTACAGCCTTTTACTCACACGCCTACATCTGTTTTAGCTTCATATCTCTCTTTATGCCATCCATCCATAGGTTTCGTACAACAGTGTGAATATGTAAAACTTGGAAAGGCCTCGCTAACGCGAGAAATTCCGAATCCAAGTAATCGCTGGGGTTTTGCGGTTAACTACTTACAAAAAACATACACGAAGAAAAGCGAAAATGTCATAATTGTTTTTAAATGGTGCATTCGCTTAAGATACATTTTAATAAAACGTAGGGACAATCTTAATAGAGAAATAAATACTTATCTTCCCCAATATACCTATGTATGACCTTTAAATAATTCCAGTAACTGTGGAGATTTATGCCGCCGCACATCCGTCAAATAAACAGTGAACAAATGCAGAGCACGAAAAATGTAGAAATTCTTATTATTAGCAAACAAGTCAGAACAAAATTACCTCTTGACTTTTTAAGGAACGAAGTTTCTAAAATGGACAAATGTTCAGTTTCAGAAAAGCAGCATCGAATATTGCATTGCATTGCATTAAATATGATTATATTTGTAAACATGTAACGGTGTTCAGCTGTTCGAGGAAAATAGTGCCTGTCGCAATATCGATTTAGAAAGCAAAGCTTGCATTCCCCTTCCAGAACGAAGCACCAAATAGCATAAATATGGTAACAGGGTGATGAAGGCAATACATAGAACCTTACTGCACTGTAAACGTTCACATTGAAACGACAATACGAAATAGGGTAGGAAATAAGATCATCTTAGGAGTAAAATGTATATTTATATGCTTCTTTACCGAGAGTTTTACGTTTGCGTTAGAAGCAACTAAGCAACTAAGGGAGAAGAATTGCAATACATTCGTAATACCATGCTACGTTTTTGCTATTTGATACTGCCTGATATAATGCGTTTAATTTTCATCGATTTGGTACCGTCTAAAAATATGTAACTAATTTTTGCTCCGTGTAGCCAACCTTATTCGTAAGCGTAAGGAAACAATCAAACCTGTGGACTTACTGCAGGTTAAAAAACCAGCAGTACTAAGATTCAGTCAGGAAGCGTCGCTATTTCGTTTCGTGTTACGTACGACTTTCAACACAAACAAATGAATAGTAAATGCAAAACACACGAATTGGGCCACTTTATGCTTGCAGGAACTAGAAAATGCTTGCGTTATTTAATAAATAAGCATGTCTTTATCGCGGTAAAAAGGCCATGCAGTAAGATTATGCATACAAGAATTAGCATACCCTTCAATTTATTTCAATTTGCTAATAGAATGTGACATACTCGTCAAACAAAACCACTCATAGGTAGCAATTTGGCATTTACTATTACCTCAAGTAAGAATTTATCACAAAAAGGTTAACAAAGGTAAACAAAGTGCAAACGTACGCTCATGGTTCTGTGCAAAGTTGTCTTTGCCTTCTTGCCTATAGAAACACTTTTTTTTCGACTGAGGTCGGTCTTTTGCTCTCTACTCCTTAGATAATAGATCACAGCGTCTCGAAAGAGAGATGCCTCACTCGGGTCAAGGAAGTTCAGACCCACGGCACCTTCATCGCCGTGAAAGCAGTGAAACTGCGGATTATTATCAATGTACGCCATCTCTTTGAACAGATTCTGTGTCCAGCACCTTTTACCTGCCTGTCAGAAAACAGCGACATATGAGTAAAAAACACCTACATGTACATCATAGACGCACAGGCAGGTGTAAAGGTTTCTTGGATTATCCTCCACCGTAACAACACCCGTCTTAAAGTAATTCCATTGTAATCGTGTGTCTCCCTTGTACACCTGCGCTATTGCGAGGGCCTTAAGTGTACCTCCATATCCAGCTATTTCTTGTAATTTTTTGGTTTCATCTGGTGTCAGGTGTTCGGAGCGATTCGTCATCTAAAAGATTTCGAAGTAATGGGTGAGTTAGTTGTTTGCAGAAACGGAGAAAACCATAACAAAAATGTGTACAAGGTACATTTTCAGAAACTGTGCGGGTTAATAAGAAATAATGGTACGATTGTTAGGGGAGGGGAAAAAGGAGGAATGCGGTTCAAAACCTGATCAGCGTTACGGTTTGAAAAGGCGCCAAAACCTTCAGTATTAACAGCAGACAAGATACGAATATTCATCAGGGTCCCATTTAAAGCGGACGGACAATGCAAACTTCTAAGGAGTCGCCTGAGTAAATCTTTAGCGACCACCTGCCCAGCAGCCAACGTTCATGTACTGTTTTCGACAACTTCCATCCTATACGAAGTGAACAAGGACAAATTGCCAGTCCAGACCATATCTATGTGCATATATTTATTTACCTGCTCCATTGGGGCAGAACATATTGGTCGCAGGAGCCGCCGTTTATCCAAAAGAGTTCGAGAATACATACAAGCATGGCTAGGGAAGAGCCAATTAAGTGTATGAACAGTTCCATACTAGCGCACCTGCTAGACTCAGACCATCGCATGGATGCCAAAGAGGCCTTCGGAGTGATCTAAAAGGTATAGTCAAGCTACTCAAAATGTTTTGGACAGTGTTTGTTGACTATGGCAGAAGCGGCTGCCATCAGACAATGCCAACTGGTCTTGTGTGCCCTAAAGAACTTCGTCCCGTCGCTACAGATACCATGGTAAAAAGCCGCTAATTCAACAGATAGCAGCTTATCACCTTGGCCGACTACCAGTCCCCCCTTCTAACGCCGATCATATTTTGACCCCGATTCCCCTCCCCTAACAACCGTAGTATTTTTTTATTTCAACTTTCATTTTTTGCTCACTTAGTAACAAGTTAAATGTCAAGGCCTGATGAGAATTAGCGAAAATAAACGTAGGTTAGCCAATCCATCTTCTGAGTTGTTCTATAAGAATTTTCGCAAATTTTCAGAAACATTAGTTTTTGCTTTAATTAACGCCTGCGCAAGGCACATTTTAGTTTTAATATGGCACCACAATTGCAGCAAAAATTTATTCAATCCACGGGTCCTTTTTGTGTCCTCAAAGCTCAGGCCGCTACAAAGTTTGCTGCAAAAAGTCTCCCCCTTGTTGGCGTACGTGTTAGGCCAACAGAGACTACCGAGTTAGATTAATAATGTATTTCTGATAAATCCTCTGGTCACTTTGTGTGCCTGCTGGTTGTCTGGTTGATAGATGATGGACATTTTGCTTCGAAAATGATTTAAATCCTTCCAACTTTGTAGTATCCATACGCTGCAGAAGCTAAACGAGTGCGCTGAGTCAAGTATTATTAAACTCACGGCCCGAAGTAGGCCTTTAGTTCATTTGGCTATAGTGGTGCCTGATCTGCAGTCTATTCCTCGGTTGCTTGGTTTCCGATTTCACCAAGACCGTTACGTTTTTCATAATTTGGTCAGATGAAATCTTAAGTCTGTAAAAGCCATAAGTAAGTAAAAATAAAATAAAAACGCTCCTCTAACAAACATTTAACTTGGAAACATTTGTTTGTAAAAATATTTGCTTGGGCATTCTCAGGCCTGACAATGATTACTGCACTGCACTTGATCATGCCGTAAACAGCAAGACAGTACGTGAGGTGTCGAGCAAGTTGACTGTGATCGTATAAAAGGCGGACGATAAACTTAATTGCCCTTTTTGTTGTTAAAATATATAACGCACTTAATGGCATTTATATGCAGCCAAGATAACTTCGACGTTTATTTGGTTTGCTGGAAACACCACACAGTGTGTCAGACAGAAGAAAGCACTTTAATCGACAATAATGCGATGGCAGAATTGCACACTGGAGGGAGAAATTCTAGGTGCTGACACTTGTGTGGTCTGAGTGAAATTCTAAAAACCCTTGGGATAATAGACAAACGGCTGTTTAAATTCGCGTATATGAAAAAAATGAAAAATAGATTCACAAAAAAAACAAGAAAAAGACGAAGGTTACTGCACAGCATTTTGAACACATATTTGATGGCCAAATACTTCTTACATTTAAGAAAAAAGCTAATCCATCGCTCCTGTGATTCCGTCCGCATAGAACAAGTAAGACTTAAATATCGTGATTTTTCTAAGAAGTTTTGCTTCAAACTACAAACTAATGCACACCTTTGATGAAATACCTGTGCACATTTTTGCAAGCATGTCCTGTTTCACACAGAAAGCCTTAGTGCTATCGATGATTTATCATTTGCAGAACGGCCTCATTCATGGGATTTATATGCGTTCATTTTAAAAATCAGCTTCCAATTGCCAAAGGTAGCTGTCATAGAGTTCTGATAAAACTGCCAGCGATAAAAAACACGCAACTCAAGTTTCCTGTGTTCCGATTAACAAAATTAATGCAGTTAACCGTCGAAAAACATGAAAGAGAGGCGCTATACTATGAACATATCGTTCTTCCTTTAAAAAATACTTCGTCCATTCGCCAAGGTGTCATGCCTGAATAATATCCTGCAAAGTAGGAAGTAAATGAAAACCGCGATTGGTTGTGGCTGAGTTATCATTTACGCTTGCCACCAAACTAATATTCATGCTTGGTATTTGGCATGCTAGTGCAACATCATGTCGTGTCTACCTGCCGTATCCATGTGATGGTCCACAGATCCTACGCGGGCCCCATACACTTCAATCAGTCATATAAGCCTTAGTAATATTTTAATTGCTCTCATAAACGCATATGGTAAAATATAAATAAGACAATAGTGCAAAGTGCTTCTGCACTACTACCGACGTCAGGTGCATGTGCTGCACAGGAAAGAAGAGCATTATTCCAACTCTACTAAATGAACTTCTTCATCAGGCGCCTAATGTGGTGACAGACTCATTGACCCACTTTAGCACGTATTCTTACCACCTGGATTTATTTTACTCATTTGTTTCACCTGCATATAATTGTGACGTGTGCTAATTAAAGTCATATTCAAAGTACTGTAGAACAATAGTTTTGGTTAGGTTAATATTATTTTAAAAAAAACAATATTTGTATTTTCAAACTACTGACAGGTAAAACATTTAAAAAGCTGTCTTAGGTAGGTTATTTTTGTATTGGATTAAGTTTTTAACGTATGGTTAACGTTTGCCATGCAAATGCACGTAAAAAACTGGATTCCGAAATCTAGGCTATGACTTGCAATCAGGAAGAGTTAAATTAAATATATGATGAATCCATTACTAGTAAGGAAAATTTACTGCAAGTGTTCCAATATCACCACTAGAAAAATGTCGGATTTTAGTATATGGCAATAAGTTTTTTTTGTATTTGCTTTGCATGCCTTTTAGTATATGAGTTTTTAAGGGTTATTTTTCTACCAGCATACAGATATACCCCTTTGTGCACACGGCCTCGGCTTAAGCGGGGCCGCGGACGGGGCCAGGCTGGGCCATCCGGGGACAAGAGTGAACTACATGTATTGTACATATTTCTCTCAATCTATTTTTTGTCGAAAAAAAGTATCAATTACCATTAGGGTGCATCTTCTTCTTCGATACATAAATGAAATCGGGGGTTGAAACGCGAAAACGGGGGCTGCACGCCGCGAAAATA